GACTCTACAACATCACCATGTAACAATTTTTTTCTTTCTCTTGGGAAGCAGATAGAAACAATAGACTGTCTCTTATCTCTCAAGGGTGATACTCCCAGGACCCATGTCCCTTTCCCAGAAGATAAGCCGCAAGTTACAGCAAAGGCGGCAGTGGTGTGGTGCCTGCAAGTTTCCTGTTGCAAGTCACCCTGCGTTCAGAAGTTGCCCTGGCTTGCTTTCCGCACGGCTGCTAACGAATAGGAATGATCTTTCCCCTCAGCGTTCTGGAGGAGGTTAGAGCTGTGACCGGGTATTACCACAGGCCCGTGGCTTCTGCCCTGAGAGAAGACAAGTACAAAAGCAGTCAGAACTCTTCCCCTCTCTGAAACAGTCACGGATTTGCTAAGTCTGGCAGAGGTCACAGCGACACCTTCCGTGTCCACCCCAATTATAAGTTGGCCATGCCAGCTTCGGAGTCCAGAAGTATCTGAGCATTAAAGACTCCACCTTAAGCCAGGGAGTGGGAGCAGAGCGTTGATATCTGGGCATTGCTTGGGATTGATACTTGATGGGAAATAAAAGGACATTGAAACTCTTTGACAGGTCTCTGACTCATGTAATCCTGGAACGTCCATGTGATAAACACAAGGGAGGTCCTGGCTGAGAGAGGAAACTTCGCCGACTCAGAGAGGCCCTAAGGTAGGTGGCTGATAATAAAACTGATGAGTAAAAATCAATAATTTCATATATCCACGAATAATGAGTTAGTATAATAAATAAAATGAAAGATCCCAACCAGGATAAAGACCAAAAATATAAAATACCTAGGATCAGGCAGAATTAGGAACATTCGGGGTCCATATAAACACCTGCAAGCTATACTGAGATGCTAAACCTAGAGGGTGAAAGGCTGGTGAGGAACAGGGTATTACATAGTCTCAATGTACCTTTCCATGAATGACTTATGAATTAAAATGGGGAAATAAGTAAATCTAAAGTGGAGAAACCTGGGGGGCATCCCCTTACAAAGTGATCAAAGTGAATATCCCCAGTAATGGGACAGATGGCCACACACAAGACATAATGTCATCTCTGAGTTTAAAAAATGTTTCATCTGAATCTGATTGGAAGGAGATCTCAGACAAACCCAAACCAAAGGAAATTTTATGAATATCTGGCCTGTACTCTGCAAAAATAACAAGGCAGCGAAAGGCTGAGGAACTGTCTCAGACTAAAGGAGACTAAAGAAACCCGACAATTCAAGGCACTGATTGATTGGGACAACGACGGGACCTGGAATCCACAGATCTTCAAGGGATCCATGCATAGAATTTGGGGGGATTCTGCAAACTTGGGTGGTAATTACTAAGTGAAATTAACATTTCCTTCCCTAAAAAAATTTTTTTAAACAGACAAAGTCTCACTCTGTTGCCCAGGCTAAAGTGCAGAGGCCTGATCACAGCTCATTGTAACCTCGAACTCCTGAGCTCAAGTGATCGCCCTTCCTCCACTTCCTGAGTAGCTGGGACTACAGGCACATACCACCGTGCCCGGCAAATTTATTTTTTTAAGAGACAGGGTCTTGCTATGTTGTCCAGGCTGGTCTTGAACTCCTCAAATGTCTGGTGAACTTTGTTTACATTAAGAATGAGGCAGTAGGCTGGGCGTGGTGAAAGATGTCAGACACAGAACACTATGTAGGATATGAGTCCATTTATATTAAATTCAAGAACAGGCAAACTAAAGTGTGCTGATAGAATCAGAATTATGATTGTGGTGTGGAGATTAATAAAGGAGTATGAGGGAACATTGGGGAACATGGAAATATTTTAGATTTTTATCTGGGTACTGGTTAAACAGGTATTTACTTGGCTAAAAATTAATCAAGTCGTACACCTAAGATTGATGTGTTTCACTAAGTGCAAATTATGCTTCAAGTAACAAAACACTTCCATGCACAAGATACCTAGGGTGATTTCTGTTTCCTGCACTGACACCTGACTCTGAATATCTAACTCTGAAGGCATGTCCTGCCCGTGTGCTCATTTCCCTGCTCTACCTTGCAGTAAACACATGTTGCCAGGCAGCCTGTGTTAGTTGTTCTCAAGGGAGGGCAGGGTGGCAGTTAGTTTTTTAAAAATTTTTTGGCAAATACATTGACAGAATGAAAAAAGGTTTAAAGAATAACTGTTTAAAACATTTGAAATGAAGTTGTAAAGGTAGGGATTATGTTTTGTTTTTCAGTCTTGGAGAATTCCCTCAAGCACTCAGATCTGCGAACATGACCCTGTTTGGGGCCCTCTGGCACTATCTTTGGGCCTGACTTCTGCTCTCTGGGGGGAAACATGAGCTGGCAGTTGCTGAGTCATCATGTGTGGGTCACAGCCCTCTTTGGAGCACTGGCCTAGAGACATGGGCCTTCCTGTGTTGAGCTTTGAGTTGAGGGAGGGGGCAGCCTGGGCATAGATCACTCTCTGGTTGCTCTTCTACTAATAAATGGACAATGATCAAATTATACCCATGAAAGAGGGTGGAATGCAATAAACAACAAAAGATAATATAAATAGCCAGATAGGGTCAAAGGATGATTACTTATTTTATTTTACTTTATAATTCTGAAATAATTTCAGACTTACAACATAGTTGCAAAAATAATACAAATGTTTACATCTCACATAACACAATGATCAAACCAAGAAGATTAACATTGATAGAATATTAAAAACATTTTTTTAATTTTAATTTTTTATTTTTAATTATGGGTACATAATAGTTATATATATTTATAGGGTATATGTGATATTTTGATATAGGCATACAATGTGTATTAATCAAATCAGGATAACTGGGGTATCCATCCCCTCAAGCATTTATTATTTCTTTGTGTTAGGAACATTCCAATCCCACTTTTTTTATTATTTTAAAGTATACCATAACTTGTCCAGTATAGTCACTGTGTTGTGCTATCAAATATTGCTCATTCTAACTATCTAACTATATCTAACTATACTATATTTTTGCACCCATTAACCATCCCCACTTTATCCCCCTCTTCCCACTACCCTTCCCAGCCTCTGGTAACCATCATTCTACTGTTTGTCTCCATGAGAGCAATTGTTTTAATATTTAGCTCTCACATGTAAGTGAAAACATGGAAGATTTGTCTTTCTGTGTTTGGCTTATTTCAGTTTTCATAATGTTGTCCTGTTCCAACACTGACAGAATATTAACTAATCAAAAAGCCTTATTTGATTTCACCATTTGTTCCCCTAATGTCCTTTTTCTGTTTCAGAATCCAACCCGGGATCCCACATTGCATTCGCTTGTCATGTCACTTTGGTTTCCTTTACTTTGGAGCAGTTCCTCAGTCTTTCCTTGTCTTTCCTGACCTTGATATTTTTGAAGAGTTATTTTTTTGTTCAGGGCCATCCAATAGAATTTTTTGCAATGATAGAAATGCTCTGTATTAGCTAATGACTAATGACAGCCACATAAAAATAGCATTTGAAATGTGGCTCATGGGCCTCAGGAACTTTCAGATTTTATTTAATTTTAATTAAAATAGCTACATGTGGCTAGTAGTTACTGTATTGGACAGGACAGCTATCCCTCATTTTGGGTTTGCTTAATGTTTCCTTATGATTAGCTTCAAATTATGAGCTTTTGATAAGAATACCATAGGCTTGGTTTTGTGTCCTTCTTTGTCTAAAATTTTTTTTTTGTTTTTTGTTTATCTCAGTATCATTTCTTGATCTCTAATTGTCTCCATCCCATGTACCCACACAGGGAAGCAGTACTCTTAGCTAGCTAACTAGATGGTAGCTCCCTTGGGTTACTTACTGAGACCCTATTTTCATGCAGATCTGAGCTATCCTATACCCTCACTGCAATCTAGTTTTTCCTTAAGTATAAAGTCTGATATGGGATGGCTCACCTACAGCTTCAATATTTGAAATAAAGGATCCTTTATGCAGATTTTTGCTTTTAATGATCCTTCTCTGACAGTAGAAAGATTCAAACCATAGCCAATTCTAAGAACCAAGACAGCGTTACTTCAAAGGATCTGACTTGCTGAAACTAAATATAATTCATGTTCCTTTTCTCTATGACATGCCATAATATTTTTTCAAAAAAATCTTTAAACATTTTAACTTTGAAGAAGGAATAAAAACAGCCATTTTAGAAACTAGAGACACCCAAGCACTGATCTATTCATAGTTTCTACACAGCTGAAGTTTGCATCAAATAGACAAAAAATAGTACAGAAAACCTATATACACCAAAGATTTAGAAAAGTCCATCTCCCGAGAAGCAGGTCAAATGGACTCAGTTACAGATCTCACTGAATGTAGGAGAATCTATGAGAAGCAACGTAAAGCCTTCTGCTGGGACATAAATAGGAATCAGTCCATGTAATGAAGAAGTTACTTTCCTTCCTAATCTAAATGCTTGCCTCCAGTCTGTGCTCAGAGAAAGGTCATGGTCATTTGAACTGGTTGTCAATCAAGGTACCCTTCATTTTTGCTTTCTTGGCTTCGAGTTCAGCCAGCTCTTGCAGTCGCCTCTTGCTCATGCCTTTGCGCTCCAGCTGTTTTTCGATCACTTTGGCATTCTGTGCATATGAGTCAGCAACTTCTCTAGCCTCAATCTCCTCTTCCTCTTCATCAATGGTAGACACAGTGACAGAGCTGAACTTGCCCATGTCTTTAGTCCGTTTGGTCATCATCACCTTCTTAGGGGGCTCTTGTTTCTGAGTATATATATTCGTTTTCCCAAAACCCTGGCCAAACTTGACTACTGCTCCATCCACAATGAAGGTCACAGGAGCGTTCTTCGGCTGGGACTGGTAGAAGAGTGGCAGTCCACACTTTGCACACTTCTTCCTGTACTGTCGTTCAATGCCTTCAGGCCTCCGAAGATATATTGTCTCCTCATCTTCGGTGTTACAAAACTTGTGGGCGTGTTTGGCAGCATCAATCACACGGGACCGGTCCCGGGGCCTCATGGGCAATTTCTCTAACTGACAGTCCAGCACCAGGACCATCTGGCCACACAAACAGTAGTACACATGGAGGGGCTTCTCGCCGTCGTCATATTCCTCCCGGTCCCGGGTGTCGGAGCAGACTACAGATCGGGACACTACTTTCGGCATAATTCAGAGGAACGGCCTGAAAACCTGTCTAAAATTTTAAAAGCCGTTGATGGGTAACAGGAAATCACTTAGGCCAGGTAGCTGTATTATTATAATGCCCTTCAAGGTCCAGCACAGATGGAGGTGACAACTGCATTTGGAAGCCAGTCCCCACACTCTCAATGTTATTCCTGCAAGAATAGATATGACGCCACTGGAGTTGGGTGGGTAGCAGGCAGGATTGAGTTTTGAACTCATCAGTGTTTATCCCCTGTGTTGTTGACCACCCACTGTGTTCCAGGTACTGGGGCTTAAAGCCTTATTATACCTTAGGGCTCATTAAACACTCTCACCTTGGCTAACCTAGGAGGAGCTGGCCTGATTACAGTTTAGGTGTGATTAAGCACACTTTGTAAATGCTGAAGGTTGTGAAATATCCATAGGGCTATCAAATATAGTAATAACACTTCACTGGAAAAGTGTCCAGGTATCTTGCTATGGTTCAGTTTAGGAGCACTGGCTTTGGAGTCTGGTCTGTACTCAGGCATTTGCATGTGATTTCTGTTAAATCTCTTAACTCCTCTTTTTCTTTCCTTTTTAAAACTGTAGTATATAGTAAAGTATAACAACATTAAGTGTGCATTTTATGCATTTTTACATATAGTCAAGCTCATGTACCCACCATTCACATCAAGATACAGAGCACTTTTGGCTAGGCATGGTGGCTCATGCCTGTAATCCAAGCTACTTGGGAGGCTGAGGTGGGAGGATGACTTGAGCCCAGGAGTTGGAAGCTGCAGTGAGCTATATGATTGTGCCACTGCACTCCAGCCTGGGCAACAGAGTGAGACTCTGTCTCTAAAAAGAAAAGAGGGGGGAAAAAGAACATTTACACACCCATAGAGAGTGTGCCTCTCTTCCTTTCCCAGTCAGCATTCCCCAGAGGTCACCAGTGATATGGTTTCTATTCATGTAGATTAGTTTTGCCTGTTTCAGAACCCTATGTGACTGGGAGCAGAGAGTATGTACTTTTGTTTTTGGCTCCGTTCTCTGAGCACCATTTAGCCATGGTGCCCATTCATTAGTGGGAATATCCATTCATCTTGTGTGTGCCAGTATTTGTTCTTTTCCACTGCTGTATGCTATTCCACAGTGTGAGTACACCACCGTTTGTCTCTTCATCCTCTTGCTGAGGGACATTTGGGTTATTTCCAGAATTTGCCTATTATGAATAAAGTCACCACAAACATGATCTAGTCTCTATGCTCCTAGGTAGATGTACACCCAGGAGTAGAATTGCTGGATAGTAGAGTTAGCATGTCTTTAACTTTAATAAGAACTGTCAAACATTTTTCCAGATCTCTTAAACTCTCTTTAAAACAGGATGAATAATCCACTCTACCTGATTATGGTAAGAGTATTTAATGGGCCCTAAGATACAAAGCTTTAAGCCTTATACCTGCAACACAGTGGGTGCTCACTAACTGCCGGCCTCTGCCCCAGCAGAGCAAGAGCGAGGTGGATAGCAGGCACTGCGGGAAGTACCTACCCCAGACCTTTGGGGGGCGGGGAAGAGGCCTTTCCCACCAGCACTCAAGTCCTACGCCCAGCGCCCGGCCTGCCACCCTTGGCATCCCTGCCTCGCACCCGCCTCCCCGCAGGCCTCCGCCCCGTCCTGATCGCAGGGGCCCAGCGTGCTCGTCGCTTTGCTGGACATTCGCGCCCCTGTGAACTTTGCGTGTCACCCTACATTTATTGGGCACCGTGTGCCAGCCTCTGGGGACGCGGGAGAAAATGCCATGAAGACCCTCACCCCTCGGAGCTGCCGGCGGGAGGAGAGAAGCGTGGGGACGGAAACCCAAGCCAGCCAGTGACTCTAAGGCCGGCCGCCTGCCTAGCTTCCGGACACTGGACTTCCCCTGGAAGTTGCTGCAGACGAAGAAGGGAAGAAAACAATCGGCTCACCCGCGCCCCTAGCAGGAAACTCGATCGGTCCTCAAAGCCCAGCTCCGTGCGTCCAGGCCCTAAACGGAGGCCAAGTGCCCGCCCCACAAAACAGCCACCCGCGCGTGGCCGCGAAGCCCCGCCCCGCCGCCGGGCCAATGGCCGCGCCGCCCTGGCGCCAGCCCGCCCTCCCTGCGCGGAGGGTTCCGGCCGGCCGCGGCGGTCCCTGGTCGCTGGGAGTTGGCTACCCGAGGTAAGGTCGCTGCCCAGGCGCTCGGTCCTCCCGGCTCAGCACACACGGACGCCTTTTGGAAGGTGTGCTGCGCCGGCAGGGGCCGAGTGGGACTGAGAGTCTGCTGGGGCGCACCAGATTTGGGGCGCCGGGGCGGTGGGGGCCAGGAGGGGACAGGGCGCGTGGGGCCCCGTCGCACGGGGTTCGGGACATGGAGGACTCCACGCGTCACATCCTGCTCCCGGGGAGAGGGGTAGGTGGCGTGGGGTGTCTGCTCGGGCTGGGGGGCAGGTTGGGCGGGAAGGAGGCGGGCACCCGCGCTGCGCACCGTTGCCCGAAGGCCCAGGATGACTCTTATGTGAGGCGGAGCCCCGGTGCACTGACCTGTGGCGGTCGCGCCTCGGGGTCGAGTGCTGCTGCCCTCCGCTGGGTCTTGACAGTTCTCGGCGGTGACACCTGCTCAGAAGAACCTCCCCGCCCTCCGCGGACCTGGGTCCCAACAAGAAATCTGATCCGAGGCTGTGAGGCCTGTCAGTCCCGGTTGATATTTCTTTCTGGGACGTGCTCAGCGCCTCAGGGGCAGTCGGATCAGAAACTTCGCCGAGTTGAGAACACTCTGCCATCTCCTCCCCTTCTCTGAGATGGGAAAGAGGTGCGAGGAAAACAATACAACTAAAAGCAAAACTACATTCTGTGTGTGCCGTGAAGCCTCAGAAAGATCCGGGAGGACAGTCAGTGACCTGTAGACCCTGGCTGCCATGTGAGGGCAGGGTTAATGTCCTCAGGCCTGTCTGAAAGATTTCCATTTCTGCCAAGAGAAGGGACTAAATATTGCATCCTCCCAGGTGCACCCTCACCCAACAAGTGACGTTGACCCCTCCCTGGACTTGAAGGCAGGGGGCTGTGTGGGTCTCCTTTGCTGTAGGGGCCTCTATGCCCTGCAGGGTGTATGGACAGCTACAATGCGGCAGCGAGTCTTGGGTTCAAATCCTGTCCCTCCCTGGCCAGCTGGGCAACTTGGCATCAGTTCCCCTCTCATGTGATTGTGGCAAGGATTAAGTGAAAGAACCTTAGGATGTGCCTGCCTGTAGTGGGCCCTCAGTAAATGTGAACAAATGTGGGTTTTCTTTCCTTTTGGTTTGGCCATATCATCCCCTCCTCCCTCCTACAGGTCTATGCCTTAGGGCTATGAGGCTGGAGTGCAGAAGAGTGCCTCACCTAACTCCCTCCTGGTACCTTCCTGGGTGCCATGAGAAGGGAAGGAGGAAGGGGTCCGTTAACCTCCACAGAGTTGTTCTTTGCATGTTTCCTGAAGGCTCAAAGGACCCCTGCCTCACCTCCCTGATCCTCCTGACCTTATGTCATTAGCACTTGCCCTCCCGGGAATGCAACGCCTGGAGGTTGGCAAGGAAAGTTGTGCCATGTGAGGCCGTGAGGCCAAGGACAGTTTCCCATGTGAGGAGGGTCTGGTGGCCTCAGCAGCACCTGGCTCTCTGCCCTGCAGCACTGTCTTCTACAGGTCTCGCACCCACCTGACACCCACCTGGTCCTCTCTCCTCTGCCTCCTTCCCTCCCTGACAACCTTCTGCGAACCCAATAGCACCTCAAGCTTCACTTGTTCAAAACTGAGCTCTGGAGTTCCCTCTGCGTCACTGCTCCTCCCTTGGCTTCTCTGGCCTGGTAAATGGCAGTTTCCATCCACCCAGTCCCCAAGAAGTCATCCTCGATTCTTCTCCCTCCCTCACCTCCCACACCCTCAAAACACCAGGAATCTGACTGCCTCTTGCCATGTCTTTGGTCACCAGCCCGGCCGTACCAAGTGTGTCTCCCTTGGCTGTGGCCTTCAACTTCTGTCGCTGTTTTCATCCTGGCCCTTTCACAGTCCTCACAGCCACCAGAGAGGGCTTTAATGTAAATCAGATCCTCTCCTTTGCCTGTTAGAACCTTCTACTGGTTCCAGGTTTCACTCCAAATAAAACCTAAAGTCCCATGTGAGTGGCCTCTGCCAACCTCTTTGATCTTGGTCTCTGTCCCTCCCCCTAGCTTTCTAAACCTTGACCACACTGACCTGTTTTCTATTCTTCAGACATGTCAAGCTCATTCCCATTTTAGGACTTGTGTATTGCCTGTGCCCTCTGCTGGAAACACCAATCTTCTCACAGCTGAGAAGGGCTCAGTTCTAATGCCGCCAGTTCAGAAAGGCTTCCTTTACCAACCCAGTTTAAGTAGCATGCCCTGCTTTATTTTCTTCATAACCTTTGTGAACGATCTGGAATTCTTATTTAGGTATGTGTTTACTGATCTGTTATTTGTCCCCCCCCAATGTAAATACAGACATTGGATGATGGCATAGACCCTGCCTCTTTTATTCCCTGCAGCACTCCCTGATGGGGGAGGCAAATACGAAACCAGCAAACACATCTGTACTTGCAAACTGTAGTAAGTGCTATATAAACAGCAGGCAGCAATTGCTCCTACTTGAGGCACTTTAAAAATTTTAAACTTGTAAGGCCGAAGTACTGTGCTATCAAAATAAACTCTTTGAGCCATTTTAAGGGTGGAGAAAAGCCTGGAAGAGACTGTTAACTTGCCCCAGGACACACAGTGAGTTCAAGGCAGTGGAACTCAGTCTCCTACCATGAGAATGTGTATGGCCTGCAGTTGTGTTCTGGAAAGAACCTAATCCCGAAGACCTCAGTTCTTTGTACTTCCCCTATCTGGCAAGCCCCTTAATTTCTTAGTACCTCATTTTCTTCATCTTTAAGGTAGGATGATCCTATTATTATTGTGTTGGGCTTCTTTTTTCAGTATACCCCAAAGAAGCAGGCCTTCTAGGTGGAGCCCTCTTCCTGTCAGCTTGAGGGCCCTAGAACCAGGAGGGGAGCCATACACCCACAGGCACAGAAGCAAGAGGCACATACAGACCCTCCCCAGTGCTGACCACCTGCAGGGAAGGAATGGGTCCTAAGTATTCTGGATCTGGTTCTGTTTGGTCATTAATTCATTAAAAAATTTTTTTTTTCAGAGACAGGGTCTTGCTATGTTGTCCAGGCTGGCCTTGAACCTCTGGGCTCAAGTGATCCTCCCACCTCAGCCTTTCAGGTAGCTGGTGGTTATCCATTCATTTTTAAGCAAATTCTTTGAGAGCCTCTGGGACCCAGGCAATAACAAAATAGGATGTCTAAGGAAATTAAAGATGAAATAGGCCGGTCATAATTGCTCACGCCAGTAATCTTAGCACTTTTGGAGGCCGAGGCTGGAGGATCACTTGAGGCCAGGAGTTCAAGACCAGCCTGGGCAATAGTGAAACCTCATCTCTACAATAAATAGAAAAATTAGCCCAATGTGGTGGTATACACCTATAGTTCCAGGAGGCTGAGGCAGGAGGATCACTTGAGCCCAGGAGTTTCAGGTTGCAGTGAGCTATGATCATGCCACTGCACTGTAGAAGAAGGAAGGGTGGGAGGAAGGAAGGAAGGAAGGAAAGAAAAACTTAAAATTTCAAAAAGCTGACCCTGCTCAGCTGGCCACAGCAGCCCAGAGCAGTGGCAGCGGGGCGGGACAAAAAAAAAAGTTCGAACAGTTGAGGAAAAATTGCCTTTTGTCCAGCCTCACGCCCAATGCTGTTGCCATGTGTGATGTCTTTTCTTCCAGTCTTGTTTCCTCCGTCTCAGTCCGTCCATCCATCCCCAGGCCAGACCCCCCTCTCTTCAGAATCTGAGCAGCGATGACGTTTGCTGAGGAAAAGACCTATAAATATATCTGCCATCATTACAGCAGTTTTTGCCGTGTGGATGTTCTAGAGATCCTGCCTCACCTGCCCTGCCTCACGGCAAGTGACCAGGTGAGCCAGGGAGGTGACAGCCGGACATTGGACTGGGGCTAGGGCTGTGGAATTCGAAGCTGAGCCCCATCCCAGTTCCTCACCCATGCCAGAGCCAACTCCTTCCCTGTCCCTCGTCCCGTGTCTTATTTTCCTTGATGCTTTGTCTAACTTTTAGATGAAGTGTGGCGCAGGTGGCTTTTCTAACTTCACTGAGCTCCCTCTTGTGTTGCTTTTGTGCACTGCTCAAAATCATGGTGCTGGCTTTCTGAGGTTGCCTGGCTCTAGTCCCCTCGCCCACTGTTCTGGCTGTTTTGGAAACTTCTCTTTCCTTCATCTCTCTTGTCCTTGTCCTGCTCAGTTGCAATTCCATTCTCCTTGTTGTGAGGGCTCAGTGCTGAGAGTTCGCAGGAGCCAGATCACTATAGCCCCGGCAGGACTTGCTGCAGGGCCCCACCAGCTAGTGAAGTGGGCCAGACCCCGCCCAGCTGTAGCTGCTGTTGTCACACTGGACCCCTGCGCTCCCAGTGGGTACCTGTTGGCTATTTGGGGGTCTCCTGTCTTCAGGACCTTTCTCCTGCTTCCTTCCACAGCTGAAGTTAGTACTCGGTCTGTGGCTGGCAGGGTGTGCCCCTCTCTCTTGTATTTTGAGGTTTGAGGGGACTTGTCACCTAGTTCTGTAGTAAGTATTTCCTGTGGTTTTTCCTGGCTGCTGTGGGATTGGTGTGGGAATTCGGGGAGATACAAACACTCTGCCCCTGGTGTTGTCTTCCCAGAACCCCCCTGGTGTTCTCAGCCCCCTTGTTTCTTACTGTCGGCTCCTCCCTTTTCCTCTTTTGCCCCCTTTCATCTGATTTTTGCTGTGTACCTCTTCCTTCTCTCCTAATCCAAACTTTTCTTTTTGCCTTGGGGGGGTTGTAAAACCCAAGGCTTTTGCATCAGATTAACTGGGTTTGTATCCCTGCCCCGCTGCTGTAGGATCTTTGCAACAGTCTTTGCTTCTGCTAAACCTCAAGTTTCCTCATTAGTAAGGTAGGGATGATAATGGCATTAAGTAAGATGATTCGCGCAGAGCTCTTAACGGAGGGCCTGGGCATAGTAACGCCTGTTCCCTGGCAGCTGCTGTTGTTATTGCTGATGGGTGTTCCTCACTCCATACTTGGGCTCCAATCCTGGCCTTGTCCTGGGCTCCGGTCCAGCTTCACACAGCTGCCTCCCTCTTGTGGCTTTCTTGGTGCACTCCTGCTTCTGGTGGCTCCCTCCTGGGTGGGGAAGTGGCCGAGGCCACTTGGCTTGAGCAGGGCAGGGGTGCTGTGTCTTCCAGGATCGACTGCGGGCCCTCTATGGGCAACGGGGGAACCAGGACACCCTCTGGGAGCTCTTCAACCGCTTGCAGCGGCGGACCCACTGGGTGGATTTCCTCATTGAGGCGCTGAGGGCCTGTGAGCTGGCTGGTCTCGCTGACGAAGTGGCCCGTGTCTACCAGAGCTACCTGCCCCGTGAGCTCCCGGCCCCCCTGCCTGCCTCCCCGGCCCCCACTCTCCCTCTCCCCCCACCCCTGTACCTCCTGCCTTTCTCTGTCACTTGGCTTCCTGTCGTCACCCTGCAGTAATGTACAGACCTGGGCGTAGATCCTGGCCAAGCCCCTTGCCAGCTGTGTCCCTTTGGCCAAGTCCCTTAATTTCTTTGAGCCTGAGGCTTTTCCTCTGTAAAGTGGAGCTCACGGCAGCACTGACCATTTAGGGCCGCGGTAGACAGATACCGTGGGACGAGCATGTTGAGTGCTGAGCCGGGCTCGGCACCTCCGTATGCTCAGCAAACGAGGCCTCCTCTGAGATCGGTGACTGTAGCATTCGCCTCCCACCCTTCCGCAACTCCTCTCCCCATGCCATTCATTCACCCCCCCCGTACCTTCTCTTCCCCTCCCCTGGTTTCCCCAGAGCCTTCTAGCCCCCCCACCCCAGCTGCCCAGTCACTCCCTGACCCTCTCTCAGTGTCCTTGCCAGAGGGGGTTTGGTGAGATCGGGTTCGAGGGGGAGACACAGGAAGAAAAGTCAAGCCAGTCTTTTTATATTTCAAAGTAGAGATAATATCTGAGACCCTGGTCAGATCTACAACTTTGGGACATCCCTGTTTGCTCTTCTTTCTCTTTTTCTTTCCCTTCCTCTCCCTCCTTCCCTCCCTCCCTTGCTTTCTCCCTCCCTTCCATCCCTCCTTACATGTCTCTTCATTTGTGGAGATGAATAGTGACCCCCCCCTGAATACAGATGGCTGCGGTGGGTAGTGGGGCAAAGGGGAGGCGCTGAAACAGTGTCAGGGCAGGGGCCAGTTGGCAGTGACAGCATGAAGAGGAGAAAGCCATTGGGGCCCAGGATGCCTGGGAACAGAGGAGGGGTGATGCTGACCCAGTCTGGGTGCTGAGAAGCTCCGGAGGCACCCGTAGCCCCCTTGCTGCCTCTCCTCATCATCCCCACCTCCCCTCTCCCTCCCACCCACAGCCCTCCCAGGGATGCTTGTGGCCCAGGACAGCTTTTGGAGCCATGGAGGTGGGGGTGGGCCCAAGAGCACCCAGCCTCTACTGTCATGGGGAACACCCCTGATTCCTTCTTGTTATCACTGTACTTTCGTCCTCCAGGGACCTCGAGCCTCCCCTCACCCCCGCTGGAGCCCCTGTCAGTGCCTGCTGAGGTTCCAGGGCCCTCTGCACCTGCAGCGGCCCGCAGCCTCCCCTACAACGGCTACAGAGAGATGGAGCCCAGTTACCCCATGCCTGTCCAGGACACCCGGCCACCGGAGTCCCTAGGAGAGGTCCGTCCTTGCAAACTACCTCGAGCCGCCTGCTTTTGTCTTCCTGTCTGCCTACTTCTGCTTAGAACCCTGGGGCTCCCTCAGGGGGGATCTACCCCAGACCAGCTTCTAGGTTGCTGATCAGGTCTTCAACCTGTGACAGCCGCCAACGCTCTGTCACCAACCAGCTAGAAGGCCACAGTCTCGAGGTCCTTGCAGTGGTCCATGTGGGACGTTGAGTTGGGTGGGGGAACCTGGGGAGTGACCAGATGAGGGGAGTGAGGGAGCAGAAGTCGTGGGGCAAGTGGTGGGTGGTGGGGCTGTCATTATTGCCAGTAAAGTCAAGTTTCAGGGGAAGATGACTGATGACACCGGGGACCTGAAACCTGAGGGGCCTGTGCAGTGGCCGCGGAGAGGCAGGGCCAGGCGGATAGACGGGGACTCCCCAGTTGGATGGTGTGTGTGTTCTATGAGGTAGATGCAAGATCACCCGTGGGCAGATGATTTGGCAATTAGTAGAACCGAGGCAAGGGCTCCCTTGGTTCCTGTACTCCGTGATGTGGGCTGAGGCCTGTAGGAGATACCCCAAGACCATAAGCCCTCTGCCAGCTCTTGGGAGAAGTAACTGCCTTATTCATATTATCCCTCTTGCAGAGTTCAAAGCAAGCCCCACAGACACCCAGCTCTGGAGCCATCCCGAGGAGGCCGGGTGGCCCCCTGGAGCCCTCCTCTGACCTGGCAGCCCTCAGCGCTGGCATCTCTAGCGGGCATCACAAGCAGAACACAGAACTGGGCGGTGCCCACACAGCAGGTACGCATAGGACCTGCAGTCATAGGGCTTCTCTGATCTCCCAGGTGAGGATGAGGATTAGAGTTCCCCCTCTGGCTTCCTTGGGCAGGAGTCAAAGTGGGAATAAAGGGAGTTCACCCCAGGGAGCAAAACTAATTCTATCAGTCAGAGAGTCTATCAGTCAGTTGGCATTTGCTATGTAACAAACAGTCCAAAACAATTTTTTTTTAGTAGCTTAAAATACAACCACTTACTTAGCACAGCCATTTGGGCTGACCGAGCAGGGTAGTTCTTGTAATCTTGGCTGAAGTTCCTCTTACAGACTTTCCAGTATATACTCACCAGTACATAAGCTCTGCTTATGGCTGTTGGCTGGGCATGTTGGTTCTCACCTGGGTCATCTCTCATCCTCCAGCACATAAACCTGTCTCATGGCAGCTGGGCAAAGTTCTGGGGGTGGGGGGAGGGGCTCAAAACTGGCACAAGCCCCCCCCACCGCATTCTGTGGGCCAAAGCAAGTTATAAGGCCAGCCCAGATCCAAGGAGTGGGGAAATAGACCCTATCCCTAGATAGGGGGATTGACAAAGCCACATTGTAGAGGGTATGGGCACAGGTGGGGAGGAGAATTAGGGCCATTTCTGCATTCCGCCAAAGGGACTCCACAGGGGTCAGCCAGGGCCTAGAGGACAGTGGAGGAGGGGCAGTGCAGGGCTGGGTCGGCTGTTGGCAGGGGAGCCCTTAGACACTATCGTACCTCAAAGGGGTCTCCAGTTCCCAACGAATCACTAAAACTTCTCAGTCGCCAGAGGAAGTAAAGTCTTCACCAACCAGGGGCCTGGGCCCGCTCCAGATCTCAATGCCCCTAACCTCCCAGGCTGGCATGTCTCCCTGCTGCTTCCCAAACTGTTTTCCATGTGACACTGGTGCCTGGCCAGCTCTCAGTGCCCCAGGCCGGCCACAAGGCACATGAGCAGTGAAAGGCTGGGAGAAGCCATCTTAGTGCTTCTGTCTCTCCCAAACTTCCCCAAGCACTTGTTTGTACTTTGCAGTGTCACCTTGTCATGGAACACCATTGAGGAGTTGCTGCTGTGGGCCATAGAGGCAAAGGGCACCAGATTTCAGGACGTTGGTGCACACAGATCCCGTGAGATTCTGTGGTGTTAGACTTGTGGGGGTTCCTCAGCAGCCTCCTGACCTCTGTCAGCTGTGGGGGCCTGGCATGTGCTGTCTGAGTCCCATGGAGAATCCTGACGCAGCCACCTTTATGGGCTGTCACTAGCTGCTGCCTCCTGCTTCCCCCAGGTCAGGCCTCCTGCCAGGGGTGGCTTTGTTCCTGCCCCCTGTCTCCCAGGCCTCCGGGGACTGGCCGGGCCTTGGGTGTCACTTAGCTGGTGTGAGCTGTTCTACAGGAGCCACTCTGCTGCCCCTCGCCCTGAGCCAGGACTGCTCTTGCTGGGGGTGGGGGCAGCAATGAGGGGGCGTCCAGGAGTCCTCCAGGCTAAGGGGAAGGTCGACAAGGCAGACCCAGGAGGAAAGGCGGGAGAAGGGAGGGAGAAGACAAAGCAGAGAGGATATTCAGTAATGACCTTCAAATTCCTCGGTGCTGTTAGAGGGAGGGACCATTTCAGTCTGTGACAGGACAGACTTGGGGCTGTATGTTGAGGACTGGGCCTGGGAGCAGTGACCAAAGGGACTGCAGAGTCTCTTCCAAGGGCAGGAGATTTGGAGGCCTTTGCAGTGTGACCTGGGGTAGGGGGACCCTTCTCCAGCCTTCAGAGTAACAGGCCTTTGGGTTTGTGCTTCCACTTGTGTTTCGCCACCCACAGGTGCAGTCTCCAGCCTCACGCCATCCCGTGGGCCTGTGTCTCCAACTGTATCCTTCCAGCCCCTGGCCCGTTCCACCCCCAGGGCAAGCCGCTTGCCTGGGCCCGCAGCGCCAGCTCTGTCTACAGGCCCCTCCTCCTCCTCATCCACCAGCTTGGCTTCTGTAGGGGGTGCTGGTGACCAGGCTGAGCCTACTGTCTGCTGCAGTGGAGCAGAGGCACCCGCCACCTCTGTGACTACCAGCACAGTGGCCTCCAAAGTGCCTGCCACCTTGATGCCAGTGAACACGGTGCCCTCCAAGTTGCCCACCACCTCGAAGCCCTTGGGTACAGTGCCTTCTAATGTGCTCACCAGTCTAGCACCGTCCAAATTGCCCATCAACCCAGCACGTGCCGGCACAGTGCCATCCAAAGTGCCCACTAGCTCCACGCCCACCAAGGTGCCTGCCAGCACGGTCCCCAGCAGCAGGAACAGCAGAGCTGAGGTGAGTCGTTGCCCTCCTGGCCCTGTCCCTGGACCCTTCCCAGTCTCCATTCTGTCTCCAGCCTGGCCTGTCCACGGCCTGGCCCTGAGGGTGTAGGGACAGCTGAGAGCTAGCCTTATCCAGACTCCATACCATGTCCTCCGTGAGGAGCAGCCGTAGAGCTCCCAAGTGTGGATGCCTCAGGAGGGTCAGGCATGGGGTCCACCCACCACCCCCACTGATGATGTGCATTAGCTCCTTTGGAGCTGGTTGCTCCCAGCTGAGTGTGGCAATGCCATTTTGTACATGAGGAAGCAGTGAGGGGCAGAGCACGTGGCCCGTCTGCCTCATGCCTTGCTGTTGACCACCAGGATGCCCGGCCTGCCCCTTCACACCAGGCTGTACGGACCACAGTCCCAGCCCATCCAGCCAGGAGCAGCCACTCTGACCCAGCAGCTCCCCATTTTTGCCCCATCCAAGCCCTTAGAGTTAACCCGAAACCCATAGGGCCCCTCGGGCACATAGCCAGGCCTCTGCCCCTGTGGCTGCCCCATGGCTCTCAGGCCCAGGCAGAATGTTGATGCAGGATGGGGCCGCACCCCTCCAAGGGTTTCTGGGTGGAGGTGTGCTCACAGGCAGGCCAGGGAGTAGGGAGAGGGCTGCCCTGGAGGAGGCTACCATTGGTGCTACTGCAGGGCCTTGGTCCCCTCCTCCCCCAGTGTCCCAAGAGAAGGTGGCCTCAGGGGCTGATGGGCTGGGAATGGAGGGTTGGGGTGCTAGTACATGCTCTGGCCTGGGCAAGGGGCCACCCGACTTGGCTTGTCTCCCTTTAACCCCAGCCCCTTCCAGCGCTCCCCTTTCTTTCCCAGGAGACCCCAGCGGCTGCAACACCCACCGGCGCCACTAGAGGCAGCTCTGATAGCGGGAGCCAGGAGCCAGAGCTGAGCAAGCCTGGCATGCTGGTGTCCCGGGTGGACAGCCGGTTCTCGGGCTGCTCCGAAGACCTTGCCATCAGTGCCAGCAACTCCTTGGGTGCTGAGGCCATCCACGGCCCGGAGGAGAATGAGTATGACTCCGTGGGCACCTTTGAAATCCACGAGGCCGAGGAGGGCCCGGGCGCCGACCTCCTGGAGAGCAACCCCAGGCCAAATGCCGCCCCACAGCTCCAGGAGGAGGAGATGGCCCAGTTTGAGGTGGAGGAGACGGCCAGGAATATCTGGGACGAGCTCTGGGCTCCGTGGCTCCGGGCAGCCACTGCTGGGGCACTCGTGATCACACTCCTGGCCGTGTTGTACCGGCGGCGCCAGTGAAGCCCTAGGCCCTCCCCACCACACGTCCGCTCCATTCCCTGAGGTACACACCAGACCCTCTCAGAGTGGAGCTATCTGGCTGCCCTTGTCCCTTTCTTGGGGTTGGTGGGGGCTGGGTCAGAGGGGAGCTAAGGGACCGCAGCCTGGCAGGTGACCATGCCATGGCCAGACTGAGTCCTGGGGGTGGCATTTCCATCCCTGCTCTTGCCCTCTGTGGGTCCCTTAAAATTTGGCTTTCTGGGCCCTGGGCTGTCCCAGCAATCCAGACCTCAGCCACCTGGCAATCCAGGTTGTTGCCTGTGCTTTCTGGAGGAGGTACCTCTGTCCAGGCCACATCCCTATTGGATGAGGAGGTGCCACTAGAGTGCACATGGCGGTTGGTAATGCCCCTTATACTGCACAGGTCCCTGGAGGCCAGAGGGCGGTTGTGCAGGGTGGGGGACCCCATGAAACCTGCTTCCACCCCCAGCACCCAGCCTGAGGCTGTTGCACTGGGGCAGGCAGGAGCAGCAGGGTGGCCAGCCTCCAGGGACCCAACTGCTTTGGGTTCCTGCCCACTGGTCCTCCTCCCCTGCCAGGCCACTCCAGGAAAGTCTGGAGGTTCCTGTGGACTCCAGGGAAGCTAGAGGCAGCTGCCAGGCTTGAGGAAGACCCTGGAGCCCCTCTCCAGTCTCCTCATCCCACCTTCTGTTTCTCTCCCGCTTGGTTTCCATTCTCTTCAGCTCCCTGCACGGGCTGGGGAGGGCACACCTGGTAGGCAGAGCTCAGGCTGAGATTTGGATCTCAGCCCCACCTCTCCCTGGGCCATGTGGCCTTGGTGGTGGGCAGACTTCTCTGGCCTTGCTTCCCTGCATGGACAGTGAGTATCTGGCTCATCCTTCACTGGGTTCTTCTGAGACTGGAGCCTACAGGTGTTTGCCAAGTGCCTGGCCCAGAGGGGGTGACCACTAAATGCTCCTCTTGCCTCTTTCCTGCCCATCCTGGTAGAACTGGGGGCATGAGAGGCAGAGTGAACGGTGGGCCTGTACCCTGTTCTGCCTCGCACCAGCTCTGTGATCTTGGGCAAGGGATTAACTGCTCTGTGCCTCACCTTCCTCATCTGTAAAATGGGGATGAATATATATGTGTGTGTGTGTATGTGTGTGTGTGTGTGTGTGTATGTGTGTGTATCTCACTAGTGTTTTGAGGATTAAATGAGTTTATCTATGTAAATCCTACGGTGATTGCTAACTAAGGGTTAGATACATGTTGTTATTGTCACTATTAAATGGGGAGGGACTAGAGCCCTTGGCTACACCTTTAGAGGTGCAGACCCTCCTGCCTCACTCCTCTTTATATTTGCCCCTTATGTTATCCTGTGTGTTGGGAACTTATTGCGGAGGGAGGCATATCTGCTGGGGCAGCTGTGCAGGATGGGGGCTAGGGTGTTCTCTGCACCCCCACCCCAAGCTTGCCTACTGGTGGGGAGACAAGCTGTGTTTATACCAGAAACACATTGGGGTGGATTGAGGGTATTCTTTGGGGCTCTTTTCAGGCAGCCACGGCTGGGCAAGGGGCAGGCACTGGTGCCTGAGGAGGCACTTCTGTTTCTGGCTCTGCAAGGGACGATAATTGGAGCCCTTGGAGGCATCAGGGCTGGGGCTTGCTGTGGCCCAGTCTCAAGCTGTTAGCCTCCAGGGTTTTATACCCTGCTTTGGCTCCTGCAGCCTTTCCTCTGCACTGCCCTGGGGACTTAAGTGACCTATTGACCTCTACCTGTGAACTGCTCTTCAACTGATGCTCTGAATCCAGCTCCATGTACCCTGAAACCTAGGGTGGTCCCTACACAAGCTCCCCGTCCACCTTCCCTTGCTTTTTTTTTTTGAGACAGAGTCTCGTTCTGTCACCCCAGGTGGAGTGCAGTGGCATCATTGTAGCTTACTACAACTTCAAACTCCTGGGCTCAAGCGATCCTCCTGCCTCAGCCTCCCAAGCAGGTGGGACTACAGGCTTGTGCCACGATGCCCGGCTAATTTTTCTATTTTTAGTCGAGACGGGGTCTTGCTCTTGCTCTTGGTGCCAAACCTCTGAGCTCAAGGGATCCTCCCACCTTGGCTTCCCAGAGTGCCAGGATTATAGGTGTGAGCCACTGTGCCCAGCTGCCTTGCTCTTAACCAGCCCTCTGTCCCCCTACCCCCAGCCAGGTGCCCATGCAGCGCAGGTCAGTAAGCACGTCATGCACAGGTACTAATTTTAACATGTTCCCCTCCCAGGGGAGCTGGAAAAAAATATCTCTAGAAGGCAATGTGTAGCCCCAAGGAGTATTGCTCAAATGGTGGAATTTCGAGCCCAGTCACTCACTGGTCATTGTGGGAGACACCTTGGGTAAGGTGTGTAGGAAGTGTCCAGGGGCCTTCCCGGCAATTTTCAGATGATGCTGCCAGAAGCCCTGACTTGGTCTGCACAGACCAGCAACCCCATTGCAGCTGTTATCAACCTGAAGGTCTCCCCCGTGTTGATTTCAAGCAAGGCAGGAATTGGCCAGTGTATTGGCCAGTGCCAGATCTCCAGAGTCTTGTGTTGGAGTGTGACTTTCAGCTGCAGGAGGGTGCATGTAGGAAGGAGAGCCAGGCAGTCATCCTCACAGCCATGTGGAGGTCAGAGCCCAAAGAAGGAAGGGAGGACCTCCACCTCCAGTGGGAGACCTGGCCACCCACACTTGGGGACTTGATAAAGCACACTTCATGTTGGATGAAGGCTGGGTGGGGCCAGAGAGATCAGTGTCCTCCTAAGTGCATGGGGGCAGACCCACCTGCAGAGAGAGTATCTGCACATAAGCCCCTTTCCACCTCCTTTCTCCTGCTGCGTCAGGGGTGGATGCTCTTTATGCCTGTGAACCACAGCAGATGGGACCTCTGGAGTCGGGGACCCCATTTACAGTGAGATTTTCACACCAATACATTCCTGCCCAATATTCCAAGATCTGCCACCTGCTATAATAGTATAATAACACCCAATATATAATTAATATAGTCTCAGGGATGTCGTAACAATTTGATTATAATTATCGCATGTGCTTGATGCCCTGAGGTGGGGTGAGATGGGTCCCAGAACACAAGCCTAAAAAGCCAGGCCTTGGGAAGCCAGTTTGGTTTAGCAGACATTGTGTATTTTATTTTATTTTATTCGATACAGGGTCTCACTCTGTCTCCCAGGCTAGAGTGCAGTGGCATCATCGTAGCTCACTGCAGCCTCAAACTCCTGGGTTCCAATGATCCTTCCGTCTTAGCCTCCCAAGTAGGTGGGACCACAGGTGTGTGCAACCACACCCAGCTAATTTTTCTATTTTTTGTAGAGATGAAATCTCACTGTTGCTCACGCTGGTCTTGAACTCCTGGCCTCAAGTGATCCTTCTACACCGGCCTCCCAAAATGCTAAGACTACAGGTGTGAGTCACTGTGCCCAGCCACAGATATTGTTTATTAAAGGAGTTCCTGTGCCAGGTTGAAGGCCTTAGATTAATAAGACACTATGGGTGCCTTCTAGTGGTTGGGGACCTTCACATGTGTGGCGCAAATAGGCTTTCATGTCATTCTTTCATGTAGTTATATAACAGATACTTATTTTGTAACGACTGTGTGCAGAGCACCTCGGTGACACAGAACCATAAAGCAAAGACCCCACCCTATGAGCACCCTCCTACCACCCACTGTCTCCAGTTCAAGACTGTGTGGTCTAATGGAGCATTCCTGGAGTGTGGGGGGAGAGGGAGAAAATGGGGAGGGGACAAGGATTGTTTTGATTGGTTCTGTACCGTTAATAATTATAATAACTAAATTCAGGAGGGGGAAATAACTCTTAGAGCCTATAGGGAATAAGTCTGACAAGATCAAATGTTGACAAAAATATGAAACTCTCGTAAGTTTTGGAGGGAATGTAAGTTGCTGCTGGGTTCTGAATATATGTGTCACCCCAAAATTCATATATTGAAACGTAACCTCCAAGGCGACGGTATTAAGAGGTGGGGCCGGCCAGGCGCGGTGGCTCACTCTTGTAATCCTAGCACTCTGGGAGGCCGAGGCGGGCGGATTGTTTGAGCTCAGGAGTTCGAGACCAGCCTGAGCAAGAGCGAGACCCCATCTCTACTAAAAAAATAGAAAGAAATTATCTGGACAACTAAAAATATATAGAAAAAATTAGCGGGGCATGGTAGTGCATGCCTGTAGTCCCAGCTAGTCAGGAGGCAGAGGCAGTAGGATCGTTTGAGCCCAGGAGTTTGAGGTTGCTGTGAGCTAGGCTAACGCCACGGCACTCACTCTAGCCAGGGCAACAGAGTGAGACTCTGTCTCAAAAAAAAAAAAAAAAGAGTTGGGGCCTTGGGGAAGTGATTAGGCCATGAGAGCTCCACTCTCATGGGTGGGATTAGTGTCTATAAAAGTCACTCAAGGGAGCCCTTCTGTCCCTTCAACCATGTGAAGACCAAGTGAGAAGGCATCATATCTCTGAAGCTGAGAGCAAGCCCTCACCGCACACTGAATCTGCTGGCACTTTGATCTTGGGCTTCTCAGCTTCCAAAACTGTGAGGAATAAACTTCTGTTGTGCATAAAGTACGCAGCCTAAGGTATTTTGTCATAACAGCCCAAATGGACTAAGATAGTTGACCCTGTTGGAAACGCAGTATCTACTAAAGCTGAACGTGTGCATAACGTGTCACCCAATATAGTTCTGCTCCTGGGTGTGCACACCACAGGAACAAGAGCTTATGTCCACTGAGACATGGGCAAGAATGTTTGTGACCACCATACTGTTCACAGTAGCCCCAAACTGGAAACAACCCAAATGTCTATCCACAGTAGAATGTATATATGATTTGTGGTGAAGTCACACAGTAGAATATTAGCATATAGCAATGAATATGAATGAAAATATTGCTACACACAACAACACACATGATCTTGAACAAAAGAAGTCAGTACATACAAGAGTATTCACTGTCTTCAGAAATAAGCACAACTGGGCTGGATGTGGTGGCTCATGCTTGTAATCCTAGCACTTTGAGAGGCCAAGGCAGGAGGACCACTTGAAGCCAGGAGTTCAAGAAATAGACACAACTGATTTATGGTGTTAGAAGTCAGGAGAATGGTTAACTTTGGGAGGGATAGAGCTGGAAAGGGTCATTCTGGGGTACTGGCTACCTCCTGATCTGGGTGTTGGTTTTATGAGTATGTTCAGTTTGTGTCTAGACACCTTGCTGGAGATATGGAAATAAACGAAGACCACCCAAAGGAGAACAGAGAGGCCATTTAGTCAGAGCTCGCGGAGTCAGCCACCATCACTTGCATGTGGCAGGTGTCTGGGAAACTTTATAGTGGAAAAAAAGGGAAGGATTCAGGTGTGCTGTGATTGTAGGTTGGCATGAGGACACCAAGTGGGGCTGACTAGTAGAGGGGCATCCTATGGGATTGGTATGGGGACATACTTGGCTTCCTCTGGTCGGTCCTCAGTTGGAGGAGGGGGAGTGGTGGTTGGGGGATTGGAAGACACTGACAGTCACTGACCAAGTCCTGACTGTTCTGGGCCAATTGCTGCACAGGTTATCATTCGGTTTCCTTGGCATCCCAGGGTGGTTACTGCACGGGCTTTGGGTCAGAGTTCTATTGTCATATGTGGCCTAGCCATTGTCCGTTTGTGTGTTTGGTCTCTCAGAAGGAAGGGTATGGGCTCTGAGTAGGGCTGCAGGGCTTTGCTCCAAGTCATTGCTTAGCTCCTACTCCCACTAAGCTGCTTTTTTTCTTTAAGGCCTGGCTTAAAGCCCAGATCCTACAGGAAACCTCGAATAGACCCCTCTCTTTATGAGGCTTCCTTAATTCCAATGGCTTACTTCAAACCCTGCTTTTATGTGTAAATTCTGGCCTCCTTGCCTACGTTTTAAAAACCTGCACTGAATATCTTCCTTCTAGCTCCTCAATGCTATTTAAAAAAAACAAAACCAAAAAACACAGCTTTTTTTTATTGAAGTATAATATAAATACTGTAAAATACTTGGCGATACAAGGGAGAGAAGTGAGGAAGAGGGCAGAGAAAATGGGTAGGCAAAATGAAGAACCCCTT